TAGTATATATCTACTTGCCAGACAGTTGATCTGTCCTTCGGCTCATTGTTATTGGGAGTTTAATGCACCTCCGGACCTCCTTTTATTGGCCAAGTCCTTCGCCGGAGGTCCTTTTGTGTTTTCGGACCTCTCGGCCATTGTGACTTATAATTTCCCAAGGTTGACTCTTTTAAACTTCGACAAGTGAAACCAATAAAACATACAAGCCATTAGGTTAAGAGCAAATGTTTACCTTTGCCAAACGTTTTCATAGGTTCCAATTAGTTTTCAATATTTGCGAATGGCTTGGGTTACTATATTCTAATATAAAAAGGAACTACCATGTCAAATACTGCAAATTGATATTGCAAAAAATAGATTCTCTGCACCATGAAGTATTGCATAAGGTACGACTGTTTAGTTATTTCTGCACCCTTTGTACTTCATCCCATTACTTTTTGCTTGAATTGTGTTCAATTGTTAGTTTTGTGATTCATTCAAAAGTTTTTGGTTGTTTCTTCTTTTCGGAGTCAAGCAACTCTCGTCGTGAACAATATCGTCATCATAATCGTTCATCATCGTAGTCGCTGGTAATTTTGATGACTCGGCGCGATTGGAAGTGGTTATGGCCAGCTTTAAATGATACCCCAAACTCACCTCAACGCCTTTTTTTTTGCAGTTTTTGGCCATTTTAATGTTGTCTCATTTCTTTAAGCACTCAGAGAAAATAATAATTTGTAATATATAAAATTCAAATTTCTATAAAAAATCACTTTAAACTTGCAGTCCATAAATTCTTACCAAAAATGAAACTTCTTTTGTAATCTCTAATCTCTAATTTATATTATTTATTAATTAATCTAAAATAGTATCGACATTTTTTCTCTGTGTTGGTCTTTTTCCCCCTTCTCATTTTCCATTGTTGTCATGGGCCATTGGCAGCGTTTTGTTTGTTTTGTCCGCTTCTTTTCGGTTTCGTTTTCATTTTCAGTATCATTTTAAGTTTCGGTATCGTTTTTCTTTGCTGATTTTGCTTATGCGAATTTAATTTACCGAAAGTGAGAAATGGTCACGGAACCAACCGAGCATCCCGTTCCCGATCGTCATTATAATGAGCATAATTGTGTTTATATACGTCTATATAATCCACCAGTTAATGGAGACTTATTGCGGGCCATTTCTTCTTATAATTTGTTTTCAAATATTTATTTACTTTCGGGTGAATGTGGAGTGCGTGTGCTAGTAATTGCGCGATTGGGTTGCGTAACACCATTTGACGGAATTGAAGTTGTCCATTGCGGGGATTACGATGTCTGATGAAGTTCCCCGTAATCGGTGGAGAAAGCATAGCGGAAAGCTTAAGCCTTCCTCGAAAATCGGGGAAATGGAACGCCAAAATCTTCAATACCAAACCAAATGCATAACCGTTTAAAGTTTAGCTCTTGAAATATTGTAAAATCAAATAAGGTTTGGTTTGGGCTTTCTATAAAATAACAAACCTAAACTAATGTCTAAAGAACTAAGTTTAAAGTATTTATTATATTTCATTTGGGATATTTGTAAATATATAGTCACAATTTTATTTTACTACCAATTGAACTTCATATTGATTTTCTGTGCTAAAGTGCTACCGCAAATTTATCACAGAGTCTGACCCTAAAACAATTGAAATCAGTTTCCACAGCTCCGAACTTGTATCCTGTAGCCTGTATCCTGTTTCCTTTCGGCTGTTTTCTTCGGTGTCATTACCCACAGCACCTTGTTGAACAACAATTTTCTGCATCAGGAGCCTGTCCAAATATTGCTTTTATTGTTTTGGCCCGACCATCACGCATTTTCCCGCCCGGGGTGTTGGAAAAACGGACGAGCCGTGCTCCAATCCCTTTGACATTTTCCAAAAAAATTTGTGAAATTTTTTCCGCTTGGCCCGCAAAAAAAAAAAAAACCAGCCAGGTGGAGTGGCCCTTAAATTTTTGCTTTTCATAGCCAGTTGGACATTGGACGTAGAGTTGAATGCTTGAATCCTTTGCTTTTCCCAAGGATTCTTGCTTTCCGGCTCGCAATTGAGCCAAATTCCCCAGCAGGGCAACATTCCGATGCTAATTCTAATTAAGCGCATTTGATGAAGTAAACGTGTCCCGAGTTTTTACTTCATAAAGAAGGCAACAAAAAACCGAAACGAAACGTTACGAAACCGAACTGAAACTAAAGAACGAGAACCTCGGGGAAATGCGGGGGGAAAAAGGAAAAGCGCAGAGGGTTGAGCTAGCAGATAAAATTTCAACGCGCGCTCATTAAAAACTTTTGGAACGGCAATAAAAAAAAAAAAAAAAAAAACAACAAACACACAAAAAAAAACGAAAGGAAAGGAGCAACAACAATAGGGATCTCTAGATGAATAAATAAAATGAAATGTGGATGGGAGGCGAAAAGCAGGGAAAATTCATTGTCATTGTCAAAATAAATTTTTCTTTTGAAATCCATTAAAGGTTTCATTTGAAGCGAAATTGTTAGAAAAGTGCAAACGGCAGGGAAAATCCAGTCCAGAAAAAGACGAAGAAGAAGAGCACACACACACACACACACACACGTACACACTTAGAACCGGGCCAAAAGCAAAACGAACCGAACCGCAGATGAAGGCGAAGAAGTGGCCGGAAAAAATTGAAATTATTACAAAACTTTTGTGATTATCTCGGTTGCCTTTGCCGGGCTATATCCATCTATATATCCCCTCCAATCGGAAAAAGGCTCCTTCGTCCTGCGGGGCTGGAAAGGCCAGAAAAGAAAGCCAAGTTTGTTTCGCCCAATAACTGTCAATGAGGCAAGCGTTTGGGCGTGGTCATCTGCTCGATTGCCCGGACAATTGTTGCGCCAACGAGTCGCACTGCCAAACTTTGGTCTAAATCAGGTCGAAGCTGGATGTTCTCAACTTGGATTTAGCCTTGATTATCATTATATATGAAACAATATATATGAAACATATGCGACGAAAAAAATGTATTATATTATCTTATATTTTCGAACATTAAGCAAAATTTGAAAAATGTAATTTAAATATTAGTTGACATTGTAGAGCTTTTTTGTAATGAATTACTTAAAGAATTGCAATCGCTACACGGAGTAAATGTTGCCCTAATTGAAGGGTCAAAGTATTGTAAAATATTTTTTTAATAGTTGTTATAGAAATTATGTAGATATTAATCTTGAATCGGTCAAGTTATGCTTGATTTTTCTGCGTATAAATTGTTTGGCATATTTGCGTATCTAATTTCTATTTACCTTGTTAAGACATCGAATTGAAATGCGATCGAAACGCGATCGAAGTGAAACCCGGATGAGCCTATTAACGCCAAGTTAGTCACCGCACTAAAATCGGATGAAAACTAGGTGATGTATCGCCGAAATAACCCCATTAGCGGATCCATGGGTACGAATCACTTTTATAAATATTTAATAAACAGCCGGGGTGCCGTGATGCCGTGATGCCGTAATGCCGTAATTCCCTGTGGCAAGGCTTTCGGAGAAAGCTGCCATTGGCAACGGCCTTGCCGCCTGTCAGTCGGATTTTGGCTCCATCTAAATCTCCATCGCCATCTCCATCCGAATCTCCATCTCCATACGAATCTCCATCGCCATACTCCTCTCTCGAAAATGCCGGCCACTTAATATAGAGATTTATGCTAATCAAGCAAAAAGTATTTGCCGAGAGGGCGACTTCGTCATCTCAAATGGAATGGAATCGTAGGGAAAAAGAAGGCAAGTGGTGGCAAAGAAATACTAAATGAAAGTGAAAATTCTTATGTAATATGCTAATATTTCTTGCCGCGCCTTGGATTTGAATTTTTAGCCTCATCTGCTCCTTCATTTGTTGTTATTTTTCTTGTTGCTGTTGTTGTTGTCGATGTTTCGGCTGCTTGGATTACGAGAGATTTTTTATAATTTTAGATTTATGGATGGGGAACTGAAGAAAGCGACGGCCCAGTTTTGAGTCGTCATTATTATCTTCTGAATTATTTTTTTATTTTTTTTTTTTTGGCTGCTGTCATCTAATAATCGCCAGCGAAATTTCCAGCGAGTTTCAAGAGGGCGGGCAAGCGAAAAAATTATCGTAGTTTTGTTTATTTGCTTCGGCATTCATTTTTATTTATTTTGGTTTTTTTTTTTTTTTTTTTTTTGGTGTCTTGTTCGGTTTCTTGGGCCTTATTTATTCACAATTGGTCGTGTTTGTGCTCAAACTAATTAATTTAAATTTAAATGTGCGTGTAAATGGAAAGTTGTATACTTTATGGCCGGCGTCGCGCTTAAATATATATGTGATTTTTTCTCGTAAATAATTTATGGAGCCACATAAGTTGGGATTAGATAATGAAACACAAAAAAATAGGAAAAATTGGTAGTATCAGCGCTGTGGATGTAGATGCGTATTTGTGTGCCGATTATGGCTGCGTATTAAAAATCAATTAATCTGGAGAGAAAACATTCATTATGCTAATAGCTTGGAGCGCGCCGAAACACGACAATTGATAAATGAGGCAGCGAGTAGGTGAAATGAAAACAAAAGCCATGAATTAATTGAACACATTTTTAATGCCGAATAATCCGGCGAACAAGTTAGTGTCCATGGGCAATGCATCGCAGCTCAGCGCAGAGAATGTATTTCATTTACGGCTTAGAAAAAATTAAATCATGTTTGCCCCAAAAACACGGATAAACTTTTCGGGTTCAATGTAATTTTTCTACGGTAATGGGAACCCCCCGATTTTGTTAAGCCTATTAAACCATGTTTTGATGCTTATTAAAATTGTAAATATTGCTCGCATTTATTTGCAAATTAAGTGGGGTTCCAATAAAATAAAATAGTTGCCATGCCAACTACCGAACCCTTCTTCTTTTTTTTTTTTTTGCTAATTCAATTTCGCTGTATTTGGTTTGTAACTAAAAGTATTCTCGGTTAAGCCAATTTCAGCCAGTCCGCCTTGTCGTCCAATTAGCCAGAAATCAAAGTGAACACAGGTGTATTTTTCAAATAATTTACTTAATTTAATTTAGCATCGCCGTTCGCAAGAATTCGATTTAAAAATTAAGCTGTTCGCGGCACATGCAGTTTAAATGGGATTGAGCGAATAAATTAATCAAAAGTGCAAACAAATCACTTGGCTGGGCTTTCCGATATAAATGCCGGTTGACAGGATGGTTTGGTTGGGTTGGGTTGGGTTTTTGGTTCTGGGCTTCAGTAGGGATTGTTGCAGCAGCAGTTCCTGATGAGGGCGTGTTCGTAACAGGATTTGGCATAAAGCAGCGAGCAGTCGAAGTACAAACACTGCTGCGGTCGCAACTGCGGGGCACCACCGCCTGCGGGTTAAAACGCATTGCGCATTAAGCATTACGCATTACGCATTATTGAATAAAATTATTAAATGCCGGCGATTAAAGGGCGGGCATGAATAATGTGGCCCGATCCGGTGATAAATTACCTGGGAAGTCGCAGCAACAGGCGTCGTGCACCATCTTGTGGGAGCAGTAGGAGTAGACCGACGAGTCGCACAGCGGGCATCCCGGTTGCTGCCCCGGTGGTCCGTAGCCCTGTCCCGGAAATCCCAGGCCTCCCATTCCCACTCCCACTCCTGCTCCGGATCCGGGTCCGCCGAACCCAGCCCCTCCGAATCCTGCTCCGCCTGCCCCAAAAGAAGGGCCAAGGGCGTTGCCAAAGTTCTGGCCACCAAATTGACGCACTGAAAAGAGGCAATAATGGTTTAGTGGCTTGAAACCAAAGATTTTTTAAACGGAAAATTTACAAAAATATCTTATTTGTTTTAATCACTCAACAAAAATATTTTCTTCAAATGATTCTTAAAAATTCTATTAATTCTACGAATGATTTAAAAGAATTCATTCTATGATTAATATGATGTCAGTAAAAGTAATAATTTGAGTATTAGTGCTTCCTAATATTACGATCTGTAATTTCGATATTTTCTTTTTGAAATTATGAATATGTCTATACCTAAGCTATGGTTCTGTTAAGTATGGTGAATGGAAATGTTTGAATGTTTTTCCACCCGTTTCCTACCTGAACTCTCCTGTTTCGCGGCCACAATCGTGATGACTGCAATTACGAGCAGAGTCGCGTGGTCCACACTGCGTATGCGCAACATCTGAGGTTCCTTCGAGGAGCTGTGCCTTCTGTGGTTCTGTGAGAGATTCAACTGTCGAGAGTATCGAGTGGCGATTGTCGAGTGTCGAGTGTCGAGTGAAGGTGCTGATGGTGGGACTGCCGTGCGTCGACTGCAACAAAGGAAACCTTTATAGAGACGCGATCGAGTGGCGGACGACTGACTGTCTGCGGCTTTCGCTTTCGACCTGTGACAAATTCATATATGATTTGATTTGATGGCTCTTCAGACAGCACGACACAAAGCAAATGACACGACAGTTGATGCTCAGATCTCGGATTTCAGCTTTCCAGTGGACCCAAAACTCAAAACCCAAAAAAAAAAACCTGCTAACGAAAGTTACGGGGGCCGCAAAATGTGAACCAAATCGAAGCAGCAGGCTGGGAGTTTTATTTTTTATTTTGTGTTTTATTGTTTCGATTGTTTGGCTGTTTGGTCTGACAACTTGATTGGCAAAACTGAGCCGAAACAAAACAAAACACAGAAAAAAAAAAATGTAGAAAACTCCCACGCGGTCAGATTCAAATTTCTGTCGGTTGACACATTTCTTCTCGATTGGCAGCGAAATCAATTCGAGCGAAGACACTTTGCCACCTGCAGCTGCAACCCTTTCAACTTTTACTTTTCCACTCGATCCGAAGTCGTTAATTGCTCCATCCGAAGCACCAGCGTTCCAAGTTATTTTCCCAGCGATGCGGAAGAGCAGCGCTTATGTAAAAATTAATAAGACAAAATAAATTTCGAATTATGCGCATAAAACAAACATCAGAAACGATTTCGTTTGGTGCTTGTTTTCGGTTTTATGCTGTTCGCTTTTTTTTTTCGGGTTTTTGTTTTTGGCTTTTGGTTTTTTGGGTTCGGTCTTTTGGGTTGTTAATCGTTTAAAGCGAAACGCGGCGAGCAAAGTAAAAGTGTTTCATTTTGATTGAGTCCGGGTTGCTAATTGATCGTTTGCCCCGTGGTCGCCGCCCGATCTCTTGGGATTGACCATTAGCATAATGGAGTGCAGAAATCGCATTCTAGGTGATGTGAGCCGTGAGCTGTGATCATCTCTGATCCACTTTCACCCTCGAGATTATCTCGATGCAGCAGAAGCAACTGGACAACTGGACAACTGGACAGTTGGACAGGCGAGAAAGTCCCTTGAAGAGTCGCAACTTCAATGAAATGGCTCCCAAATGTAATTTCATTTAATTAACTGCCAGCTGCTGCTGCTGCTGCTGCTGTCTGCTGTCTGCTGGCTGCTTGGCTTTTTGGCCAGTGAATTGAGCCCGGGCTTTGAGGCTGGTCAAGCGCAATTTGAATGCAGCTGATGAAAGCGAGCATAAAAAGCTAACAGGGCTCTCGGGACCCTTGGAAAAACAAATATGAAATGTTCATTTCGGCTGTCGTTTTCATTTTCATTTTGATGTCGTTTTCATTTTGATTTCCATTCGCATTTGCATCCGCATTTGCATTTGCAACTGCCACCGGCTCGAGTGCGGAGAGTATCTGACAGTACGTGTATCTCGTTATGTGCTCGTCGTCGCTCTGTGTTGATTATCTTGTAAATTTGTTGCACGTTTTTGATGCAAATCCGCTTGTCATGTCTGCCAACGCAAACGCAAACGCACACAAGCATTCGGACACAAAAAATTACACAAGTGATGTCATCACCTGCTGCAGATACAAAATACAAATGCAGATGCAGATACAGATACAGATACAGCTACAGATACGGATTATACAAATGCGTACTTGCGGATAACAAGACGGATGGGCCGCCCTCCATTTGGATCTCACGCACAACTTCGACATTCGAAAAGGCAACAATCTGTGGCCTAATCTGCGGCCCAGCCAGCTTGTTATGCATTCCGGTTTTGTATCTGCAACTTAAGCTGTTCGCCGAAAAAATTACAGCTCGACATTAACATGAAGTTCACTGCAGAGGAGAGTGAGATACTGTTGATGGCACAGAATTGATGTTCGTTCATCTCACCACAATCGCTAGATTAAAAAATACCTCTGTACACTTTTATGTGCCAGCAAAGCCACCTTGGCATTTGTATTTTAGAATACCGCTTTTCGGTTGGCCCTTCGCTTCATTTGTATCGCAATGTATCTGCGTCCATGTATCTCAATTTGTAAGTTCAACTTCGCGCACCCAAAAAGAAAACAATACACGGCAATAAAAGCAGGAGAACGATGCGACAACCGCAGAGCTGGACACTGGTTTTACTTTTTACTAAAAATAAAATCAAAAGAATTTGATAGGAATTATAAATAAATCAGTTAAATGATTGCTAGAATTTTAAAGTTTAATAATTTCAATAAAAAACAAATCATGGATTTGTAAATATTTTTCTGGCTTAAATCTGTATGACAATTTGCAATAAATAATTCTTTTTCAATTTAAATTATTATTTATTTTTATATTTTTTGTGTTGTATAGATGATATGGGTGTAATGTATTTCTTAAATCTAGTTGTATTTATTTTGTTTAGTAAAGTACTTGATATATTTTTGTTTGTTTATATGTCTTGAAATCAGGCGTTTTCTTATATTAATAAAATGAAATGTAAGGTTTTTATGATGCTTTCCAATAAGCGTAACCAGTGTGCTCCGGCGATCGAGCGGCGCTACGTGCGCGTATCTGATAGATACATGTGACGTAACCGCCGACGAGGCATTACTTTTACCGCGCACGTCATCGCCATCGCCATTTGCCATCTCCCTCTCTCTTTCTCCCAGCCCGAAGCTTATTTATTGGTTTTCGCTTCGCCGGAATTTATCTCACTCTCTCCCCTTTTGTATCTTTGTATCTTGAAGCTCGTCTTGCGGGTAAACAGGTCACTTCATCTGCTTCTCGACGGCCACTTTCCAGTCTTGAATGGGTAACCTCAATTAAACGCCCGCCACGCCCAGATACCGCACCTGTACCCCCTCCCCCTCTGCCCCTCTCTCTTACCCCTTTCTTCACCCAGTTTGAAGCCCCACCCCGCCCCTTTCGACGCCCTTTCACCGCCCCCCGCCCACCTGTTACCACCTTCGATTGGCCGCGCTTTGTTGACCGACCACAAAAATTTATGCCGCAACTGAAATTCCTTTATGGTCAATGCAGTTGGGGAAAAAGGGGGCGGTGAGAAGGGGGGCTGCACTTGAGGGGCGTGGCCACAAGGCATATGCAAAATTAAACTCGTAAACAATGCACCATCGAAAATCCATTTTCTTTTGTCCAATGTATTTGTTTGTGGGTGCTTTGATTTATATGCCGGCCAAATAGAAATTGGCTTCCAGAAAAACAATACTCTCCGATCGAAAGAGAATTAAACCACAAACTTAAAGGTAGTTGCATGGATACTCTGAGATCGGTTTTAAAGTTATCATTAGGAAATCCCTAATGAAAAGGTTTCAACAATTTATTTTTGTTTAAAGAAACATTCTATCTCCGTTTTTATGAATTTATTCCACAGTTTTGGTTCACTTTTCTGTAAACCATCAGAAAATATCTAACAATTAAAATGGCGAAAAATCAATATGCATTAAATTCAACATGTTGATAAAGATTCCGTAAAGAATTCAATTACAAGCGTGCTTTACCTTTTAATCGGATTAAACTTGGCAAAGTTATGGTCACTAAAAATTTCAAATATCAATAACCACTGGCATCTTCTGGAAACTCAACTCGCTATAATTATGTTATATGTCATGTACAATTTATTATGACCACGTGAGTTTTGTGTTTTGTATTTGGTTTATTAGAAATGTGTTGCCTAACAAGTGCTTTTGTTGCGCTGCTGTTGCCGGTGTTATTATTATTAATATTGTTATTTTTATTGTTCTGTTTGTTTTTGTTATTGCCATACATGTTGTGTTGTGTGAACCAATATTTGTGCTCTCAGGAGTTCTTCTTGTTCCCTGAAATGTGTGAATTTGCGGATGGTCCCAGCGAAGTGCTGTTGATGTTTGTCCTGTATTTACACAAGCTATTTGCTGCCATGTCAAAATAAACAAAGTATTACAACGAAAGTTCGGCCTTGAAGTGAAATTATATTTTAAAAAAGCCCCTTTACATTTCACACATAAATATGTAATTGATGTTCAATTAATTTGATAGTCTTATGAAATTAATTTGATGTTCTAATAATTCAATATTATCATAATAAAATTTAGTATTTGAATTTTTTCTATTAATCCAAATTATTAATTCTCCTCTTAATTTAATGATGTACAGTTTATCATACTTTTTTTTGCTGTGCACTTATTTTCTGTGAAACATATGACGAATTCATATGGGGTTCTGTGGAATGCGGGGCATTCGTTTAATGCCCGTAGTTGCCTGCAACCGGAGATAAGCCGTAAACTGAAAGCCGAGAACTGAAATCTCACTCGCACATAGTTTCTTCTCGAAAGCGGAGAAAAGAAAACGGCAGCGCTGCTCTGCGGAAAATATGCAAATTAGCTTTATTATTTGACAGTTTCTATAAAATGCAAAAGCCACAAAAGGCAGCAGCAGCAGCAGCAGCTACAACTTCATCAACGTCAATGAAAACTTTTGCTACGTTGGGGGGCCCGTAAGCCAGTCCATCCAAGTGTTTTGCGGCCCCCGAAAATTCCCCCGTAAAACCCCGCCACCCTTTCGCCGACCAAAAGGCACCCACATCGCAGTGGCTTATATGACAAACTGAAATGCAATAAACAAGTTGACAACTCTGACAATTTGGACAAGAGAAACATGTTAAATGCTCGGAATTATGACAGGAGACGACGAGGAGTCGAATCCAGGACGAGCAGTCAAAGTCAGGAGCGAAAAGGAGGTGGGTAAAATGGCCAAAATGAGAGCAAACAAACTGACAAACAGACAAACGGACATACGGACAAACGGACATACGGACAAACAGACAAACGGACAAACGGACAAACAGACAAACGGACAAACAAACGGCATAAAGAATAAGTAATAAGCATGCAAATGCGTCCAGAGAGCAACTCTCCAGTTGCAGATACAAAAGCTCGGTTACTGCCACAGTCGTTACTTCAGTGGCTCCAGTGGGTATCTCATGGATACGAGATACTCGTACTATACTTTCCCGGCTTAATTACTTTGAGAAGGAAGCCGGCCAACTGCCTCTTGGGAATCCCGTTGTCCCGCATCCGTTCATCTGAACATCCGAGAGCATCTCGGTATCCAAGTATCTGAGTATCTAAGTATCTAAGTATCTGAGCATCT